TATTCTATCATAGACACTTTATTTTTTTTCTATTTTCTCTAGATGGAGTAAGTATCCAAATAAGAAAATACACCTTTCCATTGTTTTTCTTTTTTCAAAAACTAAAACACGACTGGTTTATTTCAACTGCTTATAACTATTTTTCTTCATGTTTTCTACTACCAGTATTAAATATTTCCCTAAAAAACGACACCAATTTTCAAGGAGAAGTACTCAATCACCTATTTTTGATATTATCATTTTTGTTATCTATGTTACTAAAAATAATTCTATCAAAAATATTACTAATATCATCATGTTTCGTTAGTTGCCATTCTATACGAATCATGTGAAGTTCATTTTGTTTTTGTTTTTATATCAAAATCATGGAAATAGTATTTAAAAAAAAATCAAATAGAAAAATAAAAATCTTGTTTTTAATTTTTGAAGAAATACAATTTAAATTAATATTAATATTAAAACAAAAAAATGATTTTCATTTTGAATTCTTTATAATCATAAATTATGTTAATTTCTTTTGATCAGTAATAAATGATAAGATTCTCTTCGTTAGAAAATATGTTGATATTTATTTTTTCTTTTAGATGAATTTTTTTTTATATTATCCATTTCGTTCTGTCTCATATCGTTTATCAATAGATTTTCAAATTCGAAAAGTGGCGTCTGTAACTAAAACAATATCAAACCATTATGAAGTTAGAAAAATAAGAAATTTTCTTTTTGTATTTGTTTTGTTTTTTTTGTCTTGTATTTTAGGAAGCGATTTCAACGTTAAATGTCTTACAAACAAATCAATCATCATTAAGATCAACTGATCAACGTGGAAAATCAATGGGCAATATTCTACGTTATCTGTCATTTCTGAATGTTCAGGTGACCGAATGATAAAAACTGAGGCACCAGCGTTGTAAGTGTGAACAAATGTAATATTGTTCGTATGCATGGTACTCTGTATGCCTCGAGTCAATTGAACTGTTTTTTTTTCTTCTCTATTGAAATATTTTATTTATTTATTATATTTAAATTTTTAATTACAGTTGGATCAAATCGATAAACTTAACATAATACATGTAGCAGGTACAAAAGGCAAAGGATCAACATGTGCATTTACGGAATCTATCTTACGACAATATGGTTATAAAACTGGATTTTTTAGGTATAGAATAGTTTCAAGTTATAATAATTCATTTTTTTTTTTTTTTTGTTTTTCGAAATAAATAAATTTTTAGTTCGCCACATTTAATTGAAGCACGTGAACGTATTCGAATTAATGGAGAATTATTATCAAAAGAAAAATTTGTTGAGTATTTTTGGCAATGTTATAATGGTATTCATAATGGAGTTCAAAAATCAACTGCTGAAGTAATTTGATTATAATACATTTTTGGAGGTTGATTAAGTCTCAAGTATTCAATTAGTACAATGAAAGTTAATAGACTATTATTGAGTTATTTTTCAAATGATAGAAGAATGAAAGAGAAAATTGATGATGATTTCTTCGACAAGAAGATTCTACTGTTTTTGAGGGATGTGACGCATCTCTACTTCTGGAATTCGCCTACACAACACTTCTTTTTTTCTCGGACTAAATCACTCTGTACCCTTCTAGTATGCATCCAGGAGGACATTAGATGGAAAAAAAAAAGGAAAGTAAACTTTTCTATAAATTCAAATGGTAGTCAATATATTTCAAGACATGTTCTATCTGCTTGAATATAAGTTTTTGTATCGAATGCTAAGTGAAGTGGAAAATTCACTAATCAAAACTTAGTTTGAAAATGCGTCTGTCTTTAAAAAAATTAAATTTTTACGTAAAAACTCAGCCAATGAGTAGACAAAAAACAATACATATTCGGAATTGGCTCAATGTCCTCTATCGGTTCATAAAAAAGTTTTAAATTTGAACTAATAAATGTTTTTGTAGTGAATTTTCGAATAGATGAGCATTTGAGGCAACGTTTCTATGTGTCAAATCGCTTTTGAGTCGAAATTATATGCATCATGTAGATTCTAATGAGTTATGGATATCCTGAAAAGAGTTCCGACTAATAGCTTATTACTGCTGAAATACTGTAATTTTAGCACAATGCCGTGGGCTTGGAAAGAAATACCAGAAAAAGTAAGTTTCGAATTTTGGCTTGAAATTTTCCATAGAGACAAGTCTTAATGAGAACAGTTTGTTGTAAAATTTTTAGATCTTTCGATTGCTTCTATCCTAAGATGCGGCTATGGTTAAAGCATATTTTTACACCGCTCATGTACAACGACGAATTCTGATGTTCTTATTTCAGAATAGGTGCAATCGAAAAAGCCATTCTTATTAAGATCTGTCTCTATGCAAGGTTTCAAGTGAAAAATCGAAACTTTATTTTCCTGGTGTTCGTTAGATGTGATCATAACATTCTACTAAAATTATAGTATCTTGGCTGCAATAAACTATCACTCCGAACTCTTTTATTAGAACATTCATAACTCATTAGAATCTATATGATACGCATAGTTCCGACTCAAAAGTTATTTGATACTTAGAAACATTCCATCATTAGTAAAATGAGTACACCATCCTGAGTCATGATCCAGATTCGTTCAAATTTTGTCAAAATATTTATCTATCTAAGGTCTATCATCATAGTTAGCACAATTGTTCTTGTTTTTTCAATCTTGATAATGTGTAATAACAAAAGATGAAATATCCAATGTTTCTGCAGGTTAGAAATCAGTTGTGTTTTTCATACAAATCTGATTTGTCCGTTACTTGAAAACAATAAAGATAGGTGATTTTTTTTCCATTTTAGGATCCAACTCCAATGCCATATTATTTTTCTTTTCTAACAACAATGATGTTCTATGTTTTTGTTCATGAGCAGGTTTGAATGAAAAAAAGAAATTTCTATAAATAAACTTGAATCATTTTCAAAGATCGATGTTGCTATTGTTGAAGTAGGCATTGGTGGAGAACATGATTGTACAAATGTTATCAAGTTTGTTATTCTATATCTTATTATTCATTTTACATTTTTATATGATGTATACACATAGAACACCAATTGTATGTGGTATAGCATCATTAGGTTTAGATCATGTTAAAATATTGGGTAATACAATTGAACAAATTGCATGGCAAAAAGCTGGAATATTTAAAGAAGGTGTTCCAGCTGTAACTGTACCACAAGTATCCGAAGCTATGCGTATTTTAAATGAAAGAGCTGAAGAAAAACATGTATGAAAAAATCAAATAGAAATATTTTCAATTATAATTTTTCTTTTAAGTGTTCATTAAAAATTGCATCTCCATTAAATTCTTATTTAAATTATCCATTTCAAATTTCACTTGCTGGAGATGTACAAGAAATCAATGCTTCATTAGCAATTGAATTAGTTTTTCATTGGTTACATGCTCGAGAAGGTTAATATATAATCAATATTTTTTATTCTTTAATATGTAGTACTATCATTTTCTTTTTAGGATTATCGTATGATGAACTTAAAAATGCACCATTAAATAATAAAATTCTTCAAGGTTTAGCAACATGTCGTTGGTCAGGTCGTAATGAAATCGTTGATACACCAAATGCAACATATTACCTTGATGGTGCACAGTAAGTTAAATTTATATTGTTTTTCTTTTTTTTTTTGTGTAAATGTTTTTTTCTTGTGGTATTTATTGATTAGTACTATTGAATCAGTAGAACAATGTAAAAATTGGTTTATTAATTCATTATCAAAAAAAACTACATCACAAAGACTTATTCTTTTATTTTATTGTTCAAATGATCGACAACCAGATATATTACTTCAACCTTTAATGGTATAAAATTCTAATTTTTTTTTTTCCATTTTGATTATTTTATTGAATACATATATATATATAGAAATGTAAATTCGATTCTATTGCCTTTTGTTCACCGATTACATCACTAACAACTATTGATAATACTTCGCAAACAGATACAAAACCTGGCAATGGTAATCAAATTTGTGGAGGATTTTTATTTGATATTTTTGTTTCGTTTTTTTATTATAGATCAATGGCGAGCAACAGCAAATATTATTAGTGAAATAGGCCGTCTTTCATTACATGTAGCTGCATTTGAAAAACTTTGGTTATCAACAATAGAAAATCAAACAACAATACCATCAATACATTGTTTTCATACAGTATCACAAGCATTAGCATGGATTGATGATAGTAAATCATCAAAACCATCGATTCTAGTTACTGGTAGTCTTTATTTAGTTGGTGCAGTCTTAAAATTACTTGATAAAAATGATGGCAATATGTGAAAAAATTTTTTCCGCAATAAATCTGTGATTTCTTTTTTCTTTTTCTTTTTCTTTTTTTATTTGATATTTCAAAATAAAATAAGGTGTCGGTTATGAAAAATATTTCAAAGATTTCGTGAACAAAATAATTGAATGAGACAGGGTTGATCGTATATGAAAAAAAAAGCAATAAAACAATAAATGCTGGAACTTCACTAGAGAACAAACGAAAATTTTTTCAAGATTGAAAGGTCATTCTCTCGATCGAAACACTCCTGCTGTGAAGTATATTCGAATTTCTTTATCTATTATTAATTATAATCAAACAATAAACGAAAATAAATATGATTAGTTCAATAGTTAATTTTCAAAATTATATATATTTATTTTTTCGAGAGAATTTTATTTTATAGAGGTCGTAAGAAATCAGTATTAAATAAAGAGTATGATTGGTTATTAATTTCTTTTTTTTTTTATTGGTTATCTGAAATAAAACACATTATAACAACCAATAAAAAATTTTCGTTCACGCGTCTTTTTTTTTCATCGTTTCGTCTGTTCAATACATGCGACATTTGTTTTTAAAGAAACATCTTTCTCTTAATTTTTACCTATTCATTTTCTATCAAAGAAAAACTAAGAAGATTGCATCGGCGATCAACTAAATGATAAAATAATCAATTCAAAAAAAAAAAAAAATTATTTTCAATTTTAGATATCAATATCACTCATATAAGATGCAGGTGGAATCCATACCTGTATCAACTCCATTACCTGAAGCACCGCTTCCACAACCAATAGTACCTTCTTCAGAATCATCAGAAATTACTAATGTACCATTACCTCCAATATCTGATGATACTGAACAACCAACATTTCATATCATGCAACCTCCACCACCTGCAACTATTGCACCGAATGAATTAGCAATAGCACCTGCACCACCAACCTATACACAATTAATAGCTGTACCAATAACTTCGGATCAAACGATAACACCTACTATTCAAACAACAACAGCAACAATCAAACAAACAAAACGAGTTTGTATCATTTTTGTTCTTTAGAAAATTTTGAATATAATATTTTTTTTTTTTATTGTTCTTAGGGTTCTCGATCTTCTCATAATAATAAACAAATAACTCGGTCACCAGCTAAACCAGCAACATTACTTGCTCGACCAAGTACTGGTAAAACATCAACTATTTTACCTCAACCACAAAAAACTGTTGTACTTGGTAATCAAATGAGTAAGTGATTTGAATAAATAAATTCATATATATCTTTTCTTTTTTTGTTTAGCACCACTTATTCCAAAACCTGTGTCAACAACAAGTAATTTATATTACCAGTAAAAAAATATAACAAAAGTTCTTTATTTTTTATTCAGATGTTCCAGTCATCAAACCATCTGCAACTAATCAATCTCAGGGTTTTACTACTTATTTAGTTGTTGATGGAAATCAAGGTCAAGTAAGTTAACACTTTTTTTTCCCATTTATTTAATCAAGGAAAAACAAAATTGATTTTTTTCAGCTTGTACAAGTTGCTAATGATGGTCAAAAACCTATTACATTTCGTAATCAATCTGGTCAAATTCTTCAAGCAACACCTATAACTGTTGTTTCAGCAGCTAATCAACCTGTTATACCATCATTTCAAACTAATGGAGATTCTTCTATATGTAAGTTTTCTAACAAAATTTTATTTCTTGCTTAAAAATAAAATATTTTTTTCTCTTCTCAGTATCCAATTCTTCACAAATAAATACTTTTCAACAACCTACTGTTACACCTCTTACAACACAACAGGTAAAAAAAGAAACGAAATTTTGCTCTATGTTACATAATAACATAATTATATTAATAGTCACATCAAAATTCTTCACAAACAGTAACAACTGTTCGTACAAGTTCTACAATTGATATGCAACGAAGTAATATATTTTGATTATTATTATTATTATTATCAAAAATTTTCTTCTTTTCTTTTGTTATTATAGCTACGTTAACAAGTGATACAACAACAATGACAACACAACAATTAACAGGCATTACACAATTACCTGCAACAGCATCTTTAATTAATGGTAAATAAATGAAATGAAAAACAAAAAAATTATTTCTATTAATTATATTTTGAAATATAGGTTGTAATATTGTAACACATCAACCATCACTTCTACAACCAAATCCAATACTTCCAACATCAATATTAAATGGAAATAGTATACAATCACATGGAAGAGATCTATCACCAATTCATAATGAGAATGATTCATCATTAGATGATATATCTGGTTAGTAGAAAAAACAAAGAGTTGTAAAAATAAAAATGTAAATTCTATTTATATATGAATAGCTTTAGATGGTTCAACAACACCAGATCTGGGTCTTTCTCTTTCACTTTCACAAATAGCACGTAAAGCTAATCATCGTCATCGACGTTCAAGCAGGTAAATGAAATTTTCATCAATCTATTTTGATTTTTATTGTTTGAATGATATATTAGTTCAAGTTTATCGAAAAAGAAACGTGGGCGACCAAGGTAAAACTTCAACATTGTTTTTTTTTTTTTGAAATTAATTTTTTTGTTTTTGTTTTAGATTATATGAACGTGATCCATTCACTAACAAACCAATCAAAAGTCGTCCAATGCCTGAAGGTACAGAATTAACTATACCAAATGTAACAGCAACTACAACAACATTACTAATACCTGGTCAAACAACAACAACAACATTTAATAATATACATCCTCATACAAATGGTGGTACTTCATTAATTTTTCCAAGTCAACCAATTAATCATACAGTAAGCGTTTGTTTTTTTTTAAGAAAATCGATTCTAAGATGTTCGTATTTCATTATGAAATAAGATTGAAAAGAAGTGGAAAGTGCTAAAAATTCGGAAGAAAATCCGAAGACTCGGAGTGCTCGAAGCGGTGATTGGAGAGAAAGAACGAAACCCGATGTGACCTAATTCCTACCATAGACGACCTACGACTAGGCTGTGTCCATTTCTATTCACCTCGCAACAGCATTGTCTGCACATTTTTATTTCACTATTCAGAGTTATCACGAATTTGTAAAAAATCGACAGAAAGGTGGACATTTGAAGAGAGCTCTCTCATTGAAATTCCTGTTCGAGACAAGTTTCTGGCATTCTGGAGTAAAACAGATTGGAATAAACTTTGAAGAGAACCTTAAAATTTTATATTATCATATATATATTCAATTGTCAATAGAACTAAAGGTTTGTGGAGAAGGGGGGAGCAAGTTTTTTTATTTCCAGTCTCGACCTAAAGAATTAATTGCTTTATAAGATAATTCACCTGTAAATTGAAGATTTTACTGTAAACTTTATTGTTGAGAGTATCTATCAAAGAGCTGTAGGCTCTTTCGAATTTGACCATCTAAAAAACATGGATCCTTAGTATTCTAATAATTACAGCTCAATATGATAATATTACTTTCGTACTTCTACATTTGATCATAATCTTCGTTTTTGTGCCTAATTTTAATCTACTATAGGGACTATAACAATTGAATTTTTTCTTCTAAAATTTATAGACTACAATACCTGTTAATAATCCATCATTGTTACAACAACAACAACAACAGCAACAGCAACAGCAATATTCTTATCCATCTTTGCTCAATAGCAATGCATCGTCAACAAACATGCTTGCTGCGCCAACTTTAAATATTTTCGCCGTTAATAATAATAATAATCATAATAATAATAATAATAACAATATTAGTTCATGTACATCTTCATATTCTTATACATCTCAACCAACAACAATTCTTCCTCCACCATCAACAAATACTATTTCTCGTTCATTTATTCCACCAATAACTCAAACAATTGAAAATCAAGCAACAATTCCATTAAAAAATTTACAAATTTCATCAACATCATCACCAACAACAAGTTCTCCTCGTTCATCAACTATAGCTTCAACATCAACAACAGTACCTAATGTTGTTCAATTAAATCCTTCACCAATAAAATCTCTTAATCAAACACAAAATAATGATATTGTGGTTCATTATATTGGTGGTTTTGTTATACGTGAAAGTAGTCATCCATTTCCAATAGATGATAATAATGATAATTCAAAAGAATTAAATAATTCACATGGAAAAGAAAAAGAAAATCATAGTTTTAATGATAATAATAGTGATCTTGGTTCTGATCAACTTCGTTGTATTTTATGTAAAAAAGTTGATTTTTCAGAACGTTTTTATAATCAAGAAAAAAAATTTTGTTCTAAATCATGTTCAACAAAATCATCAAAAATAATTAAAACAACAAATGGTAAAAATCTTGATCATATAAAAACACCACCAATTAATGAACCAATAAGAATTATTGAAAATTCAATATCACAACAAACAATTGAAACAAATATTGATGAACAAATATCATTACCACCTGATCATGGTTTACCAGCTGATCCAAGTAAATGGACAGTATTTCAAGTTGGCGAATTTATTGCACGTTTAACAAATAATACAATACGTGAGGCTTTTTATGAAAGTGAAATGGATGGTCAAGCATTATTATTAATGACACAAGAACATTTACGTGATACAATGAAAATAAAATTAGGTCCATCATTAATAATATCAAGTGAAATAGCTAAATTACGTGAACGTGCACGAACATTTTCATCGTAATTCATTAGTTTAATTTTTTTTTCTTGTTTGTTTTGTTTTACATTTTGTATACATTCATTTGTTTGGAATTCGAATATGCAGATATATGATCTTGTTTTTTGTTTTTTGTTTTTTTGATGTCAAATAGATTAGATTATTATTATTATTATTATGTTTGTATGTATATACATATTCACTTGAATGGGATTTTCTAAGTGTTGTTATTATTGTTGTTTTATGTACAAATAAATTGAAACATATGATTAAAAAAAATAAAGTTTAACTTTTATTATAGAATAGAATTTAAATATTTTGAGAAATTCCTTTGCTTAAAGGTGTGAACGAAGAGAAGATCCACATTCTCTTTTGTTAGTACATCATATATTTTCTGATCTTTATGAATAGTCAAAGATTATGCACGTAATATGACACGGGCTAAATAATATTTTAAAATACGTTTATCAATAAATGCTTTAGAAGCAAGACAATTGTTGCCTGTTGAACGAATAAAACACATACATCCATTTATGCCTTAAAGATTGTTCTTTTTTTTGTTTGTTTAAATAAAAAAAATTTACCGAAATCTACTTAATGATAATATCGAATATTTTTCAACGTTTTGTGCCATACTTTTACCCCTTAATTCTGTCTCTCCTTTATATTTGTGCTGTAGCCTCGTAAGCATCAATTGAAACATGATCATCTATATTCACAACAATATAATTTTTTGATTTATATACAACTTGAATACCATTATCAGATGATGGATAACAATGATGATCAAATCGTTGTCGACGATAATATTGAACAAACCCTGAATACCATAGTATATCAAAATAATAAAGACGAGAGAATGTGGCACATGCACTACTTATAACAAATACAAATCACATTTTCTTTAAAAAATTTAACACTAAAAAGAAAATCTCAATGTCAATCAAAAATTAAATAAAATTCTATCAATTTTTCTCGTTGTATTAATAGTTTGTATTTTCTAAAATATATTTTTCATTTAAGTATTTATTTATAATGTTCAATAACGTTGTTTTTAGTTAATTTATTTGTATCATGTAACTTATTTTTACATATTGTTGGATATTGACAGATGGTATTTTCTTGTTCTTCAAATATTACCTTGTTGATAAGACATCTTTAAAGAAATAAAAACAAATACATCCAAATAGTCGATTCGAACGTAAGAAAAAGATTTTCTTTTCTATTTATTTTCTACAATAAAATGACTTCCTATCTTTACTTTTAATTATAGGTAAATCATTTTAATTTATTTTATAAAAATAAATGAACATCTCAATATTAGAAATGATGAAATACATCGGATTTTTTGTATTATTATTGGGAAACATAAAATGAAAAGACGTTTAAAGTTCGAATCAAGTCTTCGAACTACTTCTTAAATCCTGAAGTTTTTCCAACCTATCATTGAACACTATAACCTGTTACATATTTTTAATAAATAGCAAATCATATTAACTAAACACAATCATAAATCACTAACTGATAAAAACTTGTCTACAGATCGTGCACAATCAACTATTATCAGAATGTTTTATCTTTTCATGATTGTATTATGTTTTTTTTTTTGAGTAGTACCTATATTGAATGTGAGTATGGATACGAATGAGAAGCATCGCGATATCCACATTCAATCTGTTACTGCATGTCACTCTCTCTCTCTCTCTAGCAGATAATAAAAACATGATTCTATTGAATAAATAAGATAAATTTATCGAACACTGTTTAGTGTAAAATATATATTTATTTATGTTTGATTTAAAAATTCATCGCGTATTTCATGATTATTTTTAATAATTTTTATTGCAACATGTCCACTAACAAATATTAGATCATCACATAATCGATTTAAATAATCATACATTTGTTTACCATTGGATACGGCTGACCAAGCACACATTCCTGCTGTTAATAATGCACTAACAACAATTAAACCAACTGACAAACCACGAACAGTATGTGTTGTACCGATTCCAACAGTTCTAAGACCATCTTCCGATATTGAAACACCAGCAGCACCAATACCTGTTGCAGTCTTAACAGCAATTGAAGATGTATTTGTTACTTTGCCTTCACTTGAAACACCACTAAGTTTAAATGTATTTTTTAAAGCTGATGTTTTAAAATCAGATTCATCAATTTCAATGTTGAATTCTTTTAAATAATCGTGAAATTCATCTCTTTCACCAGTCCACCATTTCATAAAATATGAACAAGTATTAACACCAAATTTTTGACGAATTCGTTCACGTGCAAAATATCTTGGAACTAAATCTAAAAATGGTATAACAGCAGCAAAACCTGCTAAAATTTTATATTTCATTACATTCAAAGTATAACCACGACGAAAACAAATATTAATAATTCGAGCTGTTGCATATATAGCCATTTGTTGTAGACGATTTTCATGAAAACTTATTGGTAAATTTATAATATCATTAATTAATTTTTCAAGATCAAATTGTACATATGTTTGTATGGATAAATTTTGATTACGAATATGATTTTCGTCTGAAATAAATGTAAAATATACAGGAGATAATTCTTTTCCTTTATTGTCTAAAATGCCAAGTTCTCGAACTCGTTGCATTATTTTTTCTGCATATTTCTTTCTTGTCATTTCATCAGTTAAATAAAAATCTTGACCAACATCTTGTTTAAATATTCTAATAAATAATTCATCTACTTTACTTCGTACAATCCAACATGTACGATTCAAATGAGTTACAATATATTGTTGCCATTGACGATGAACATCTGTAAAACTATGATCAAAAACAATAATATACAAATCACAATCTGCTTTTTTTATTTGATCAAAATAATTTCCTGATTTAACATATAAATCGTTATCAGTAGATCCTTCAATATCAACAAATATTACTTTTTTATCATTATTATATTGATGTTCAAATTCCAATTGACAATATGTACTTTTATAAACACCGATTGGTGAAGAGAGTATTATGTTTGGAAGTTCTTTTGATTGAAAATCAATTGTATAATTATCTTGAATTCTTCTTAATGCAAGTGCCAAAGAAGTCTTTCCTGCACTTGTTTCACCAATCAATCCTATCCTACACGATACACTGGGAATAATATTTCGGCCGAGATCATCTTCCAGTGATCTAAAAACATCAATAATTTTCGGTTCAAATTGATCGCTTGTAAATAATGTATTTTCCCATTGATTCATTTTATCATTTAATGATGGAAAAAATTTTTTCATTTCTAATTGTTGAATTTCATATAATAATAATTCACATATTTCAATAAAATTTTCACATTTTCGAACTTTATCATGATTACCATTTAGTTCATTTAAATAGATCGTAAAACAATGATTCAATTCATCATCATCATTGTTTGTTGAAATCAATTTATCTACGTCGCGTTTGATTCTTTTTAAATTTTTGATAAATGTACTTGCACGTACAATGAGTAATTGAACAGATTCAGAAATAAACATATCATTATTAATCTTTCCATTTAATGTTTGTATTAATGATTGAACATGAATTATTCGACTAGAAATATCGTTTGAAAGAGCTCCTGGCATAATATTTGTTGATGATAATAAATCGATACCATATTTAACAGAATATTTTTGCCATAATAAACTTAATAATAATTCATTTACTCTGGCATCATTCATAGATGAATTTTGACAATATAAACAATAGAATTGTGCCTTATTTATGTTATTACATGTTTTTATTGATTGTACACATTTACTACAATATTGATAACTACAATCTTCTATTGGACATTCACACGGTAATTGATCAGGTACAATACCAAATGGACTGATACATACACAACATGTATCCCATATCTTGAAAATAGAATGATAACAGTACGTTTGTTAAAACAATGTACAATACTTTTGATGTGACATTTGAGCATTCAAAAGAAATATAGGCGAAGTATAATGTTACAAGACTGGAAAATTAACTTAATGCACAAGGAAAATTATATCGGCTTATGACGAAGTCACCTCAAGTGATATCTACTGTTTGGTCCACGAGTAGGCCTCAGTGAGATTAGCAAAAACCTAAAAGGATTCGTTCGATTTTGAGATATTAGTCAAAATATTAAACAACGGAATTTTCGACTTTAGATTTTAATCTACTCGTGGGCTCAAAAAGAGCTCAAATGATGGGTGTCACTTGGGATGGTTCTCTCGTTAGTACAGACACAGAAGAATTAGCCATGTTCAAATCCAACAGTTCTTTATTGAGTCTACATATATTGTCAACGCAGTAATTGCCCATGTTTGATAATGCGAGACGTTTGTTGGTTTTCATCTGTTCGTCTAATGTATTAAATTCAATTCACCGGCCTTTTTGTATCTTGTATACGTTAAGGCGACAAAATTTCGATAAGAATCTTGATTCATGAAAATTCAGAGTTCAACACAACAATGGATAGACGATTTTAAGCACGCAATGACGATGTTTGATTAAACTCTGTTGGTTAATGACTCAAATTAAACGTCAACGACGTTCGTCCTTTCGAAGTCGCATGAGTTGAAAATCAACTCTGTCGATGTTTTGTTCTATAAAGATTTTAACACTTCTGATCTTCTGCTGCATAATTTAGCGTTAATTTTATTCTTTCCGCAAAGATATTTATTCGATTCGACTTAGTTTATTAACTTTGATGTGACAGACAACGACATGAAAGCAACTAAATGTCTTTCATTATCATATAATTGTAAACAATATATTCGAGCTTTTTCAAAACATCTATGCCAACTAATGGTTGGTGTTACTCCTCTTTAATCGAGTACTAGACTTCTAAGTGTTCATGTGAATACGAAGAAAATTAGAAAAAAGAAAAATATGTTCCCTACACTCTATTCTTTACATTCGCTTTCTTTCTACTTTTTGTATTTTCATATTATAGTAATGAGATATGTCCTTTGCATTATGCATGAAGATTGACAGTCAATACGAAATTGAAATTTTCAAAAACATTGGTCGGAAAAATACAGAACTTATTTTCGAATCAAAATTTGATTGAAAACAATCATATTCTTTAAATAAACTATTTGTCTATTCCTTTCTACTTACATATTACGCTGTTATTTTGTATTCGAAAAAAATAATGGAATCCATTGTTTTACATACCCGTTTAACATACAGTCGAAACCATTGTCCATTATTCTTAGGAATCACATTTATGTCTGTTAGTATTTCTTCTTTACCAGTTACTTCACTTTTATATGCTAATATGAATGGAACATATATTTCTTTGACATTTGTTTGAACCAAATATTTTCTATACTTTTCCAATACTTGTGCTTCTAATTTTTCGATTGATTGATAATTATCAATGAATTTTTCTTTGTGTCCCAAACAAATAGCTTGAATTCGATGCATATTTCACTAAATAACAAAAACATAAAATTATCTTTACTAAATAGATGTTTGTGGTAGTGAAGAAGAGCATACCTTTTAGATATTTTCGAATGCCTATAACGAGTTCGAGTTAACGTTTCATCGCTGAAAATGATTATATTCTTCGATGATTGCACTCATACTTCATTGTGAAATATATAGTGCGTTTGCACGTGTTGTATTGTTTTGATCGTTGTAGGTTTTTTCCTCGCACAGTTTTTTTTTCATCCTTTCGTTATTTACTCAATGAGTAATACAGAAGAGCAATATACGTTGACGAGTGGCTGTGAGAAAGGGAAATTGATGTCAAAGGCAATAAAAAATGTTGCTTTTCTGTCTGCATTGCTTGATACTTTTCTCTATCATCTTACCAGTTTCCCTCTTGCTAAGGCTATAGGTGTTCTCTTCATCTAAATCCTCAATGCTTTGAGTTTCTATAATAATGAACTTAGTGAATATATTCTCATCCATTACCTACACTGCTACGTCTGATTCGACTGTAAATTCATATCTTGGGCTCTGCAAACATTATTTCTAGACGTTTGATACGAAGAAAAATATTAAATGTCATCTAAGAATATTGCTAGAGTATCGACTTAACGAACAATGACAAGACTACCTCTTCTTTTGGTAATAGGAGATAACGACTGAGAAAGTGCTATTTCAGTGTATGAATCCAACAGGAGATTTTTTGCTACTTCTGTAGAAAACAACTTCGCAATACATATATCTGACAAATATTATTTACCATTACATTCCATTTTCAATAGAACTTGCTGCAACTGTTGCAGCCAGATTTGGATTTCGTTCTTTGCTTTTAGACTAGAATAAGAATGTTTATGTCATCAATCAGTCTAACAATATAGCTATATAATATCTTCTTAACAGTGCTATGTGGAACCATCGCTCTCTCTTGCCTTTGTTCTCTGGTGAAAACGATTAAAAGGGTGACCCATAATTATAGTGTAGCTCTTTGGGAAAAAGAGATTTTTTGTGGTCTTAAAGTGTGTCAAGCCTTCAAATTTAACATTTTAATGTAGTCCTATCTACTTCCTAGCTTTTTAATTCTATTTGACCTTTTGTGAAAGTAATTCAACATGAAAACCTCAAGATTTGAGATATTTTCTAGGTTGCCACAAAGGACAGGAGCGCATAAGAAGTCAAATTCTTGTGAGTATTCGTGTATGTGGATGTATGCAGATATAGGGATGGAAGACCAACACTCACACCCTGTTGAAAAGAATTATTTAGCTTTTGTTTCTTCGTTCAAAGACTTTCTCGTCTATTGTATTTCTGTTGTAGAGTAGAAGTGAAAAGTTCGATTTCTTCTTCAACACACACACGCACACTTCTTGACTTTGATAAATTTTACATGTGTGTATGCGATGGGAAAGTAATGTTGAAAAGCTGAAAAAGAAAAAGCTTTTCCAATGAAATTATATAAAAGTAGCATTGGTGAAGTATTTCTTTTCTTCCCTCACTTATATCTTTCCAAGCGCATATCCAATGTTAACAAAAATCATAAAGAAAGTGAAGCACAAATAAAAAGAAACTCACTCTTAAGTGTAAATGTAAGTGTGAGTCTGGGTGTATGGACAGGAGATCACCACTCACACTCTTAAGAAAGAAAAAGCATCTTTTTTTTAATCACTTATTCAATTATCATTTGAGATTAAAAATAAAGTTTTGAAAACACTATTAAAGAACAACAACGAATATAATTACAACAGTGCAACGATCAAAAAATTTCACAAAATTTCTGTAGAAAAACCAATAACATTGCACATATAAGCTGAATTTAATTAGTCAAGTGTAGTATATTCAAAATCAATTTTTCTTTATAAACATAAAAACAAAATTTTATTATAATGAAAAAACTTGGTCTTGTGAAACGAATTGTTATCATATGTTCAGTCATCTCTTGTATTCATCTAGCATTTACTTAACGAACGTTACTTGTGTATTCCACGAGATACTATCGAGATTCACGTCTTTTAGGATTCATTCAAATAATTTAATTTACCTTTTGATAGAAAATGATGCGCTCTAGTTGTATTAGAAGAGAAGCATTAGTCCTTATCATCAGATATATCACTACTCTTGGTCTTATCTTTGTCTTTAGCATAAACTTCGTTTTTTTTTATTTTAGATTTAGATGAAAATCGGGAGTAATAAAATTCCAAAAAAAATTAAGTCTCAGAAGTTGTTGCATTATGCGTGTATATTCAATATTGAGTTTTCTCATTTTTACACTATCCTATCTTGATTCAATTGTTATTTGCAACTGATGAACAGTTTTCTAAACATAGCGAGTTTTTCTATTAGAACATCTGATATTTTTTTAAATTTAAGCATGATGAAAATTAAATTAAACAAAAAATAGATTCTTGATATATTAATACTACATATATTTTTTTTTTCATTTTTACTATTATATCAGCAAGATTATATTTGTATAATAAAAACAAATCAAACAAACGTCATATTAAAATGCTAGAATAGATGATTTCTCTTATAAATGCTGGTTTTTTTTAAATATTGTCTTATTTTAATGATGCCGACGATTTTGGTCGAATAATTTCACAATAACCATCAGTTAAACCATGTTTTGTAGGTCCATTAATAGGCTAAAAAATACAAAGAAACATTTATCAACCGATTGTAAGGAAAATAGAAATCTTTTTTTTTTTTGTTTCTTACTTTGCCATATCTATCAAAACGTGATCCATGAAATGGACAATCAAATGTTTTTTCTAATGGATTATAACGAACAAGAGCTTTCATATGTGGACATACTGCTGAAAATTTATAAATAGTTCCATCGGTATCTTTATATACAGCTAATTTTTGTAAACCTTCACGAAAAATACAACCCTTAAAAAGAGAAAAAGAAATTAAATAATTCTTTGATTATTTTTTATTTTGTTTAACTTACTTCTCCAAGTTTTAAATCTTCAATATCTGATGGACCAGTACCAGGAGTAACATAATCAAAGAGAGCTGCACTTGCTTCAAGATTATGTTTAATATATCCAAATGGATTTTTAATCATTAGACGACTAGGATCATATATTTTAGCATATGGATTATCACATCCAAATAAAAGATCACGACAAACTAATGCTCCAATTGTTCCATTTGTAATACCAGTTCCTGAATCACCTGTTATTATATAAATATTTTTATTTCCTGGATTAAGACCATGAAATGGTAATGTATCAATAGGTTCAGCAACTTGACCTGACCAACGATAACGTAATTTTCCTGCAATAGGAAATTTATCACGAGCTATAGCTTCTAATGCATTATATGTCTCTTCATATGAAGATAGATTATGACCAACCTAGAAAAATATTTTTAAATGATACTTAAAAATTAAATTTAAAATTAATACCAAATTATCTTTGCCACCAACAATCAATAATTCCTTTGATGAATTTGATTTATCATCAGATGTTAAACGATGATAATTATATGGTTCATCAGTATCCCAATAAAGAGCTCGTTCAATAACACCTTTATCTACTTCAAACGCCTTTTTTTGTTATAATAATAAAAACAAAAATGTCTTATTCAAAAAAAAACCAAAATAACAATGTGGACATAACACTTACCATAGCATATGTTCGACATTCTGCCATTTTTGTATACATTGTTACTCGATCATTAACTGGTACATATCTATTTATAATATAAATATTATTATTTAGAAATAAATATAATTGATTAACTTACGTAGCTAAAACCATTTTTTTACAATCTACTCGTTTACCATCTGATGTAACAACATAAACTTCTCCTGTACCATCATCTTTATTATCATCATTAATTTCTAAAACATGACTATTTGTAAAAATTTGTACATTTTGAAATTTTTTTGTTAATATTTGACATAGTGTACATAAATATTTTAAAGGATGAAATTGACCTTGATTTGGAAAACGAAGCCAATGTGATTGTGGATAATTAGTTGGATATATTGGTTTTTTTGATTCAGCATCAAGTAATTCAACAGTCATACCAGCTTTTGATGATGCTTTAAATTCTTTATCAATAATATCTTTTACATGGCTTTCTTTTGCTGGTATTAAATAACCAGGTAATCGTTCAAATTCACAATCAATATTTTCTTTTTTAACAACCTGTTCAATAAAATTAACAGCTTCATGATTTGATCGACAAACAAGTCGTGCAACTTCTTCACCAAACATATGTTCAATAACATAATAATGATCATCATATTCAATTTGTAAATGAGCTGTTGTTCGACCTGTTTCACCTGAACATATTTCACCATCATCAATTAAAATTATTTGTTTAGATGGATCATGTTCAGCAAGACAATATGCTGTTGTAATACCAGCTAAATATATATGAATAATTTAAAATTTATTTTATTGAAACAGAAAAAAAAAATGACAAAAATCTACATACAAATTCCAGCACCAACAACAAGAAAATCGCATGTTTTATTTTCCATTAATTTAGGAAATTTAGGTCGTTCAAGTGAATCAAGCCAATAGGAAAGTGTACATCCAGATGAATATGTTCCATCTTTATCATCGATGCGAGGCACCGAACTATTACTATGTGCTAAAAAAAATCATTTTTTTAAATATCTATTCTCATTAGTTAAATTGAAAAATACAAACCTGTAGACATAAATCTTCTTGATCTAATGAATGTAGTCGAGTAAAATCTTGAAGAAGAACTAGTAACTATTCGTTTGATTATTGTCACGAGGCCAGACCCGTGCATTTCTCCACATACAATACTATAGAGTACACAGGAAAAGAAAAAAAACAGAAAAAACCAATGACGAATGTTAACTCTTAGTAATATGCTGGTAGAAAGATTAAAAAATGCTTCTTTCTGGCAGTTATTTGTACATGCATTTCATACCAGCGACATCTATATGAAACCTTGAAGTAATAAATGATTAAAGAAATATTTTACATGATATAGTCGAGAACTGAAAAAGATACATAATTATCATACGAGCATTAGGGGCACTGATATATTCTTGTCAATCTACCAAGTACCACTTGAGTGAAAATTATAGAGCAGCACCAATAAACTGTTTCTAAATGTTTACAGAAACTTGCTCCTAACAAAAAATATCTCATTCGATTGTAAACTAAAGTTAGAATTTTTTGATGCGTCGATTATCAAATAGGACTAATTTTTCAAAACCATGAATCAAATGCATAACTGAAGTAAAAATCTTCTAATGAAATGTTAGTCATCAAACGTGTGACCGCATACTATACTCATAAAGGTTAAAAGAACGATGATTATTGTCATTCGAAAAAAAAAGTTTAAAAGAATTTGTCTTTGCTTCTTATATAACAAATAGACTTGTCAACCTAGGTTGAATAAGTATAGTCGTAAACGACTGTAAATCGTCATATATTAGTATATTTCATGACTTAGTATTACGACCGTATTTCTCTGTATCATATACGGAGAAATATGGTCGTAATACTGAACAATGAAATACTAAAGAGTCATCACATTCCGATAGTTGAAAACGGTGTATCACTGCATTAATTTTCAACGTGTTGGCTATAGTCCATCAGCCTGTTTTGTGTCATTTTTTCGCTAGCAAACGTTGATCATTTCTCCTTGTATGTTTACTGTTTTACGAGCTTATAGAAAAATAGCACGTAATGACCTCAGGCCTATCCTTTTGATATCGGTAGCAGCGCAGTTTTTTTGGATCCAGTACATCAAAATATCATCGTTTCTGAATGTATACGAATTTCGTATTCTTCATCCTGAAAATTTTTTTTGTGCTAATAATCGGATTCAAGAGATAATAGCAATAAGAATATAGGTAGCCTTGATAAATGAATATCTGTTGTCATTAACGAAAACGTGTTAAAGGAACCAAATACATTTTATATACAAATCTTCATTGAACATATGCATCTACTATATAGAAATTCCTTGTGTAGAAAGCCAGAAATGGTAAACAAATGCCAGTCTAATATATGTTATTTTGTTGATGATTTCGTATATGCTTTTTCAGATTCACTTCCTACTCTTTTCAAAATTTTTTTTTTTTTTGAAAACTTACATATAATAAAATATTTATTCGCTTCATGCTAGAAAAAAAGTGAAATATTAAGATAAGGAAGATGTTGTCGCTAGAAATACGATTTCTATTTAGCAATCTGAAAGATATAAAATGAATAGTTATATTCTATTAATGTTGATTTTAATTGAAAATTTCGTCAAATATTTGATCATTTATTTAATAGATAGTTGATTATGAGAATCAAATATTCTCATTTCAAATATGCAAATTTATCCACAATATATTTCTGTTTTTTTTTCATTAATACTCAATTATATTTTGAATTCATGTAATAAATCAAATGTATCACCATAACCACATTATATTGAACTTTGTACTACAATTTTAGAATCAATAGTTAGATTATAAGTTGAACCATCAAAATAAGTGGTTTTAGAAATTCTTCACTAAAGAAACATCAATTGTTCCTTGTTATTTATAATATTCAGTTCTAGTCTCAGAGATCTTTTATTCTATTAATCATTTTTTTAAAGAAAATATAAAGATTAATTATTATTTTTAAGTGCAAATATAAGTAAATGAATAGGCATGCTCAAACGAACACTTTGTCGAGCAGTACTATTTGATGAGTTATCTAATAATAATAATCCACACGCTGATAATTGTGCACAAATACGACGAACATCTGTAAAGCTATATTCTTTTTTATCTAAATAAAAAAATTATATTCTCGAATAAAAACAATAAATAAAATATTTGATCATACCAAGTCTATCATAAATAGCATTAACTGTTGTAATTTCTCGTCCTTTTCCATATGATAATTCATCTTGAATAGCTTCAAGTACTTTACGTTGAATAGGATTTAAATTTCTATTGAAAAAAGAAAAATTGATTTACATAGCCAAAAAAAGATCTTGTTTTCTTTTTAAATATACCGAATAAATATCGTTCGTGTTGATGTATATAAACGTTCAAATGTTTTTTGTACATGTTCAAGTGTAACTTTATTTGATAATTTATCTAATTGTGCCATATCTAATGTTTGTGAACATATTTGAAGTACACGACGAACATCACCTGATATTGATGAAACTTTTCGACATATTAAATCAAGTGCATCTTTATCAAATAATGATGATAAATCAGGACCAAGACGTGCTTGAACTATTTCATTTAATTGTTTAAATGTATATGGATGAAATATGACACGATTTAAACCCTAAAATATAAATATTTCTACCATTGATTCATTTAAAAATCTTTTTGTTGAGAAATATTTGCTCTTTATATTGTTATATTTAGAATAAATGTTACCTGTATTCTGCACTTTTTATTAAACATCGAAAACCGTCTAAACTTGATTTTTAAATCTTTGAAAGGTTTGCTCATAATTTCCGACCTATGAGTCTTACAAAAATTCGAAACGAGCACAAAATTCTGATTCTAATCAAATGTTTAATACTTTCTAGTGACCATCTTAATCGATCGAAACATGAAGGAACAATTTTATCTAAAAACTTGTTTGCATCCACGTGATAACTTTTGAAAATATATTTAATTTTATTAAAATAAATAAACTTACTAAACGTGATTGAAGTTTTTTTTTAAACATTGTTTCAGGTAAATCAAGTGTATTAGCTATTGCAATAACAATTAATTTTGAATAAGGTTGTTGTGGCCATTCTAACATATTATATAAAATTGTTTGATTTTTTGTATGTAAATGATCAACCTTAAAAAAATAAGTTTATAAAAAAAATTTACAAAACTAAATTATTTAAATTACTTCATCAAGTAATAAAACAATAGCTTGTTTTTTTTTATTAACTCGATCTGTAAAATATTTTGATAGAAGTTTACAAGCCATTTTAGAACTACGTTTTCGATTTATTTCATTATCGTCAATAGCCTAAAAATAATAATCAATTAAATAAATATTATCAAAGAAAATAATTACTTGTAGAAGTTGATTATAGATTTTTTCTGGTTTATTTAATTTCATTCCATTAAGAAAAATATATTTAAATTTTGGTAAATCAGAATCACTTGAAAGAAGCATTAATTCACGTACTACTTTATTTACAATAGCTGTTTTTCCAACACCGGGAACACCACTTACATATAATGCTCTACAGAAAAAAATAATAATAAACAATTTGTCTAAGAGGTAAGAGTATGAGATCAGATTTTTTTGTTGATCTTAAGCATTCGGTACTACATTTAGCAAAAATTTGATCACTGTACTGCTTAAAATTATTCGTTACCATATTCTAATAAGTTTGAAACAACTTGATACTGTATTTCAATCGATTTAATCCCTAATGTCCTCCTTATTGGGTTCGTAATTAAAAATAAACAAAGTCAGTTGTTTGTAGCGGTGGGAAGGAAGAGATTAGGGCAGAAGCGTAGTATTTTCGAAAATCAAGTAAAAGTTCTCCTTTTGTCTTGCAGATTTTCTCAATCTTTCTTATCGTTAATGATGATCACGGTCGTACAATTGTCAATTAGTGTGATAATTCTATTAGAAACTCAAGCTCGTACTATGTTTATTTTGAAAAACAAACAAACTTATGTTGCGCACAAAGGCTACCCAGATTGTTTTACATATCGAAGAAGTCATGGAATGACTTTGAACTCTATTGTCTAAAAAAAACTCTAAATACTTTAACAACATCTCAACTATTTCATAGGTAAAATAGTTGGATTACATAAAGTCTTCACAAAATTGAAGAGAAATTTCATTTATACCCGCCAGCTTGTGCATCAAGTTTATTTGTAATAAATGCTGCAATAGAACTTGATTCTTGTTCACGACATGGTGGTGCTTCAGGTAAGTTTGTCGGTAAAAGTCTAAATAAATATCGATTTTATAATTATAAAAGAAAACAAAACCATATCAACCGTTGTCGAGCTTGAACAAATACATCATTAGAAATATCAATAGATGTTATACCATCATCATCATTTTGTAAATCAGATAATGTCATTGTATTTATCTAAGAATGATTTAGCATAAAAGATAAGTTATTTAATCGAAAACAATGATTTACTCGTGGTAAAAATGTTGTTCGTATTTTTTTGGTAGCTGGTGTTCCTTTATTAATTAAATTTGGTTTTCGATTATTTGATATAATCTTTTCATCATCACTTGATAAACTTTCATCATCATCATCATCATCATCTTCATCATCATCTTCTTCATCACTTGACGAAGATTGTTCTTGTTCATATTCATCTTTATCTTTTTCAAAACTAATTTGACGACTTGCTCGTGTTAATGGTCTTGGTGTATGATTTATATCTTTTTTTGAAATAGGTGATGATAATGAAACAACAGGTGTTGATGGTGTTCGTACACGTAGATTATATTTAACTTTTTGAATTGAATCATTTTTTGATTTTGGTGTTGACCATTGACCAGTTGCTGAATCACGAACTATTTTTATTGGAGTTAGAATAATACGAACATTATTAGACTTGTTCGAAGTCATAGTTTTTATTTTTTACAGAATTTCTACAATGAATGAATGAATGTTTCGTTCTTTGTATCTGGTCAATATGAATCATCATTGTTTGAAATGACCCAATCGATTGAATGGTATAACCAGAAGAGATGTCACAATTCTCTGAACAATTTGAATACAATCAATTCAAACGAAAATTATTTAGAAAAATAAAACAGGACGTTTTGTTTATAGAATCAATAGATTGTATTGATCATATTATAATATTTTCGTTCAACGGATATCTCAACTTCAACAGTCATATTGAAAAATGCTAATCCCAATCTATCCGATGTACGCGCATATTTACCTACATCTTTAATAAACACATCATGAACCAGAAAAGCGCAGCAACTATCAATAATTGCAGCAAAATCTGCTTGTGCTACTTTTTACAAAAAACAATTTTCTTTATTCATTTAAGATCATCTAAATAATTCTTCAATCGATTCAAATTGACTGGATAAAACGAATAATTTATTCACTAGAACTATATCATTCTGTTTATATACTATTTAAATGTCATTTAACAATAATTTTTCTTCGAATTTAAATTGTATTTGATTATTCTAATTATTTAATTTCCGTTCAAAGTGATCATCCTTGCACCATTAGATTTCAGCTTTAAATATTTACAACTAGTCATCAATAGTAAATAAATATCTTTAGTTTTTCACATTGTTGTTTAATGATGGTGACATAGATTTATTTTCATTACTTTCTCTAGTCTCAATAATAATAAACTCAGAATATACTTCTTAAACATTCGAGTCAATCGAAATGAATATTGTCATTCAAGGTTACTAAATAATTCTATATGCATTTAACTACCAGTATGTATACTCTCATAACATTAGCTAGAAGTCTTCTGTTCTGCATTCTTTGATTAACAAACACAGAGAATATGACTCTCCTGTGTACATACTGCAAGAATGAAGCGAAACAATCTTTCTTCTTTTTTTTTCTCTTGCACTCTCAAGATGAAGAAAAAAAAAAATTTGAATGTAAAGTCATCTTTCACTTTCTTTTGCCACGAGTAAGTAAAGACAATAAACTTATAATGGTCACCTTTATGTCTTTGAAATAGATTAGAACAAAAAAAGCTTTTTTTTCTTCTATTATATATAAATGAATGTTTAAAATAGACAATTATTCATGAATAATTTTATTAAAGGAATTGTTAGTCATTAACTTTTCAGATATTTGTTGTATATCTATCTTCTAATGTATATTATTTCTATTTTATATTTGATAGTTGATTTCTAAAGTGATGACAACATCAAATCAATGTTCAATGTATGAGAAAGAATTGCAAAGAAGCCTTGCAATCAAATACAAGACATGTTTATTGTATGAATGTCTTTAAAAGTCATCATGAAAAGTTCCTCAATGAAATGGATGGTTTTGTCAAAAATCGAAACGATACGGAAGAAAATAACAATAAGTCTACGATATTCAATAAATCTAGTAGTCTTCTTCTATTACAAATCAATGCACGGCAAAAATTGGATACCAAATACATAAAATCAAAGGCCGAACAGCTTCGGCAATAAATCATTCAACTCTTTTATTGTACATGGACAAAAGCTATTGTTGCATTTAAAACATCATTCTTGGAATCGACTCATTTAAACAAAACAAAACATTTTTTCGAACATATCCCTTACTTGATTTGAACAAGTAGTTGATCAAATTCATCAAAATAGCAAAAAAATTAGCTCAAACAACTACGATCAAAAATGAAATCAAAGAAAGAAACAGCGTTCGTAATAGTTTTATATATATTAAAGAAAAATCTATTGAACAATTTTTCAATCCAGCGATCTCAATGAACTTTCCGTAAAATATTTTCATTTAAATTTTTTTGAAAAACAAAAAACAATTCTTTTTATTTAGAAAAAAAAACAAACAATTACGTCATCTTATTAAATTCAACCATCAAAACAGTTCGCCTTGTGCCAATTGCAACTGTAGCCGTGATATTTTTTTTTAAATCATTCATTTGCCATGTAGTCAACAGTTCGTTTATACAACTCAAAACTTGTAATGTAAAACTATAACAATTGTAAATAGAACTATTTTAAATCACTACCCACCTTTTATATGATTTCCTTAATTGACTGATTAACTTAACATTGAAGCTTGTTTTTTTCGAAAAACTAAAATAAAAACGAAGAAGAATATTGTCTAAAAAAAGTCTATTCATTTGATTAAAAATGATCATATAATATATACTAATAAATGAACTAGCGCAACAAGATTTGTTAAGAATTCTAATTACCATTTTAACCATAAGTATTATAGTTGCTATGTACAAGCATTTGTTTCCTATGTTCTTTATCTACATTGGATTTTTTGTATATTGTAGTACACATTCTACAATTATACATCTTAACAAAACAATTGGTAAATTGACTAAAAGATAATTTTTTTTGTTTTTGTTTTTGTTTTTAAAATATATTTTGTTCCTCCTCATAGATTATTATATCAATACAACAAAAGAAAGTCTTGATTTGACAATTTCATATTATTTACCATTAGAATATTGTTCTGAATTTTTTTTAACATTAGTAGATTTATTTTCATTTTATTCATCAAAAATAACAAATATAACAATTCTACAAGATAGTATAACAACATTAAAATTAATTAATTTATGTATAAATATTGATATAAAAAGTATACAAAAATTAAAAAGTCTTCGTCATATATTTTTTCAAAATTGTACTATTCATTTTATTGCAAGTCAACATCGTGAAGATTATGATTTTTATCCAAAAAATTTATCACGATGGTCATTTTATCAAGGTCAAACAGATTCATTTGATCAATTTATTATAATGATTAATCAAATAGGTAAAATAATTTTAATAGAATAAAAACAAAAAACAAAAGAAGTTTTTTTTTCAAAAGGTCCTTTAAAATTTGATTTAAAATTATCGAATTGTTTTAAACCAATATTTTCTTTTAATCATTTTATTCCACTTGATACACAATTAATTTTTCTTGATATAACATGTCAATATTTTCAAATTGATGAACCATATAATATTAAAACACGTAGAGCAATTTTTCTTACACCAATATTAATTATTAATACACAATCAAGTCTTTGTCCATCAATTCATAAATATTATTGGTTAAGTTTAAAACATAGTCATACAAAACATTTTTCTTTACGAACATTTATATGTGAAAATCGTCTTATTCAACTTAATTTTGATTTAAATCAAACAACAATTACGAATACAGAAATTACTATTACAACTCAAATAACATTTACACAATCAACTATTTTTAACAAGTGGAAAGTACCAGTTATAATTAATTTCTCTGTTGTTCTTATATCAATTATTATGTTATGCGTAGCATTTACTATTTTTTATATTCGTCTTTTAAAAAATAATAAATCAAACTAGTCACGTAAGCAAGGGTGACTTAGGCCAGGCGTCGTTCTACCACTGATCGTCTCCGCCTTGTCGTCAGAAGTAAGAAAAACGTAATAATTACTATCATTGATACTATATTTCATGGGATTTCTCTCAATATCATAAAGTACTGTCGTACCAGCAACGTTTCTAATGGAAATCCAAAACAATCTGTCTTTTTACACTTTGTTTGTACTAGTAAAGTAAACGTGTATATCTGCTTGTCATAAGCAGAGTGTATCAAAATGTACAATAACGAAGTTTTATACAGAATGTATTAAAGAAAAAGAAAAAAAAATCACCTTTTTTCTTTTGCTAGGTCAATTGTTACGGATCACAGTAATATTATCGTATTCTATCAAACACATGGCCCTATTAACGTATCGTATTTCACTGCGTACGGACCGTATTCTTCGATCATAGTTGGCAAAAATGCCTATCGACGATCAAAATGTATGATAAACAAAAAAATACATTTTTTTTCTTCTTTTTTCCTTGATATAATCAAAGAGAAATTCAAGGATACAAGAAAAAAGTAATATTTTCAAAAAAAAAATAATAAATTATTATTTTCTCCAGCAAAGTGTACTGCGTACATTCTATGTTAAAAGGTAAAATGGTGTATATATCGAAAGTAGCATATGTTCTCTGCATATTGTTTTTGCTTGATGCATCCAACCATTAGAATTTTTACCCCTACCGTTCTATGATTTCCTAGTTACGCTACTAAATCAACCATTTAGAATTCTTGCTTCTTCATAATACTTAATTGCACTTTCTTGAATCATATTTTATATATTTAGTAAATTAACAAAAAAAAACCTTAAATCTTTTATTTTGTTTTCTATCATAAAATTTTAAATAGTACTATTTAAAATCAACGACATCTTCTCTATATAAACTGACGAAGCAATACACGTCGATAAATGATTGGTTAATATAATCAATCATTCATATTTGAACAGAACATCAAGTTGCCTATATTAGAAACTAAAAGTTTAAATTAATCTCATTTCTTTCTAAAACAAACCATTGAGTGTGTCACTTCATCAAGTATGTTCAAGTGGCTTTTATTTTCTGCCTTACTAAGCATATTTCTTTTTTCAAGTAAGACAAAAGTATTTTAATCTTAAAAATTTCTTTTCAAATTTTTTTCTTTTTATTTAGATATCTGTAAAGCTGATGATGATACAGATTCAACATCAATTCCACCAAAAGTTAATGATGATATAGGAAAACATAGTGAAGCATCAAAAACTGATGATGAAGTTGTACAAAAGTAATTTTTGTTATATGAAGAAAAAAGAAAAATATTTTCTATTAAATATTTATTTTACCTTTTTTTTCTAGAGAAGAAGAAGCTATTAAATTAGATGGTTTAAGTGCAAAAGAATTTCGTACATTACTTGATGCATCAGAAAAACATCAATTTCAAACTGAAGTTAATCGTATGATGAAATTAATTATTAATTCATTATATAAAAATAAAGAAATCTTTTTACGTGAACTTATATCAAATGCATCAGATGCACTTGATAAAATACGTTTTCTATCACTTAC